ACCTAGCGTGGCCCAATATAAATATTTAGTTGCATTCCTTTTCACATATAAACACATACTCAAGAAAACAAATAATGGAAAACACAGCAACAATGCGGACTGATAAAATCATTGTTTCATATCAACAACGTAAGTTTGTGGGAGCGTCTCCAGTATTTTGAGCATTCCTCCCATGCTCAGTATCACTGGGATTCAAACTTAATTCTACATCCTAATATTTCCAAGGCCAGAAGAATTTAATTTCTCCTTTAGAGATAGGTCAAAATGCCTCAAGCACAGTTGGTTAATAAATAAAATAACAAATAATGCTGCGAGTGTATTTTAGGTAAATGTCCGAAATGCTAAATAAATATTATGAAAAAGAAGACAAAATAATATGCCAACAAACTAGATATTTTAAAAGTATTTTTTCAAACAAGGACAGCAAAATTTAGTAAAATACTCCGGAACATTACAAAATAATGGTAATAACACTCCAGTAAGTGACTGTATTATTAAATTCTGAAACCATTTGCGAATTGTGAAAGCTGTTAGCTATGAATGAAATTTGTATTTTAATCTACATTCATTGTTCATTAAATGAATATCCCATGGCAATAAAGAAATCAACCAATTACTCTGGAGTTCACAGAAATGTCTAACGCTTGTACATACCGTAACATGAACGATGTTGGCAATGAATACCATCATATCTTTAGATGTACATATCTTAACAATGCTCATAATTGGATGCTGCATGTGAATATCCTATAGTTCATAAAAACTTTTAACTTCTTTTATACAGTATTAAAGATGCTGATGTTCTTAGAATTTAATTCCTAAAAAGTCTGTCAATACAAAATTTTGTAAATACACAGATATTACGTAAACTTTTATAGTGTCTGCTTCACTATGATATTTCTGTTTGTACCTCATGTGCAGAGGCCCTAAGCCTGAGAGAAAGTTATAGTCAGCCAAAACAGAAAATGCATTAGCTATGCATATTTTTAATTAAACATAGCAGATATCAGTGTCAGATCACCTGTAACATTAGAAAATAGTTGGTCAAGCCCAAACAAGTGCGTGCTCCTGTGTATACTGGAGGTGGTCGTTTCCATAAGGATATTTGACTATTGAATCGTCCATATTGGACAGGCACAAACATGAGAACAGCCTTAATTACCTTGCCATATTGATCTTATATCAAATCAAATGAAAGACTTTTCTAAGACAACATTATTCTGTTTGACAATGCTAAATAACTAATCTGTCTAGTCAGACATGCTGGTTACCCTGGGAAGAACTCAAATGACGAAATAATATTGTTCGTTACCCGCATCATGGAACATTAATTACTATTTCTGCACCCAATACACAGACAATGGCTTCTTGGGGCCTCTGATAATACAATGAATAAATAAATGTGACAACAAATTTCAATACATGTATATAAAAGAGAGGGTGTAATCATGTTTATGAGCCAATAACTGTTACATCAGCAGTTTGATCTCATTATGGAAAATGCCAAACATGTCTTCCAAGGTGGCCTGCCATGATTATAGTGTTATTTTAAAGTCATGTTAATTTCTTAAATCAAACTCAATCTTTAAAACGATTAAACAAGCAGGTATGATGCAATATTTTCACCTTTTTCCAAACCTAGCAAGCAATTTTTTCACTCTTAAAATCTGTAAAAAAAATAACCCCCAAAATCTCTCCTTAACAAGCTTGCAAGCCAAGACCACGCTCCCCAGACAATATTTACCTTGCAACATACCCAATGGCGAATCAGCTGTAAGCTCTGTCCAAAATCTTCACAATGCTGTCAGTATTGAAGACAACACTACAAGCAGTAAGAGCAGTAACCATGAGGCTGGTCCAATTGCTCTTGTTGAATGTAGTTTACAAATAAAGTATTAAATGGAAAGTAATTGTAAATGACAACAGCCTTTTCGAAGTTTGTATGTCCTTTATGAAATAAATGAAAAAGAAATTTTGCCTTAAATATTTGTTTGAAAATGTAGAATATGAGTCAATTACACTTGCTAATCATCATGGCAAATTTGTTAGCAGAAGACTTGTATATTTTAATATTGTAATATTTTAGTATTTATGACCAAGTTTTACATGATTCAAATAATTAAAAGTTTCATATGAAAGTACAACTATTTAACATAAGGAATTTATTGGCATTGACCATGGGGGCTGACATGTGTGGATACCATAGAGCATGGAAACAACCTGATTATCACCATAAAGTAATGTTTCAAGTAAATACAGAAGCATATCAGAACAGGATCAAAGTCTGGTCACTACACATTACAAGGTAGATACCTGACAACTGTCATGGGCAATTCTCATTCTAGGTGGTGAAAAAGTGGATCATTCCTATGTCATAGCAGTTGTCCAGTGTTATCACAGCAGGAGACATCAGGCTTCATACCTTTGTACCTATGTGTGGAGTCAAACCCAGAACTTCAATGTCATGAACAAAGGCTTTAACAACATAGCTACTTTGATTTTTGTGGTATGATGCAAACCACCACTTCAAACCTTGTAACCGCCAGGGTCTTGTTGTACAGAGTTAGTGCCAAGGTGGTCGCCTAATCCTTTGCTATTTTGGACAATAAAATATGCTTAACACAAGGTGAATGTAACTTCCAGACTTTGCAAACTTAGCACTAATGTTGTTTTGAACAACGGCACCCAGATCCCCATTTTAGTTGATCACATGTACAGCAAACTGTTTCTGAATCCCCACAGTTAAGGTTGGAGGAAATGTGAGATTTTTTGAAAAAACTCATTAGAAACATATATTATGTAAAGTTATGTAAAGGTGGACATTTCCGTTGTGAAGTCAGTACTGTTCATGACAACTTGCTGCTTGACAACATGTGCAGCTGCCATGTTCAGCCAATAGTGCACCAACACCAGCATGCACGATCAACAGAACACAACCGTAAACTTGAGCCACAACCACCCACCGATCCATACCAATGTAAAGTTTATTTGGGAGTGTTATCACATTCCCCAGGCTTGCTTTTAACAGTCACATTCAAACATGGCCGACAAAAACAGCCATTATGAAAGGTTATGTTTGAAAATGGTGTTTGAACACAACCTTGTCTAACAGTGAAGTCTCGTCTCAGAAAAAGTTACAGGGTAATTAACCTTTTTATTTGACTCCAGATGTAGGGATGAGAGGGTATGATATATGCAGGAGTAATGTATGTTCAGAAAGAGTTTGGATCAGGAGGCTTATATCCTTCTTTTGTAGTTGGAAAGAACATAACAGATTGAACTCAAGCCAATGAATCCAACTAAAGTAAAACTGTCAAAGGTTTGGAGTCAAATAACCATCTTCAAAATACAATGCTCTCTAAAATGATTTGAACAGGAAAAATCCAATGTATTTTACGTGCAAACTTCACAAACATATTTTTATCATTATATCATATAATCAGATTATTACTTTTATTGGTGTAATTTTGTAATTTTGTAATATTTACAATTCTCATTTTGTAAAATTTCTAATTCTCATCAAATAGAAGAATAATGTTAAAAAAGAAGATGTAGTGAGATCGAACTCTCTGATTCACTGACAGGTAGACCATCAAAACAATCAGTCCCTTGATGGACAACAGGAGAGGTGTAGGTGCCGCCTCCCCAACTTCACATGTGTGCTTTTTCAAGGACATCCCCTCAAAGCCCTGCATTCCAGCATCGTGAAATGTTGATTTGTTAAACTGTTAAGGAATCAAATAACCTTGTGCTAAAATGGAGACAGCTGTTGAAGCAGAGTAAACTCAGCTGAAATGTTTGATGCATAAGAATCTCACATGCAAATGTGACCTGAATTAGTTGACAATGAGCAACTGAAGCTGGCTAACGTAACATCCCCAAAATGATGTTATGGATTAACCACTTCAAATGTGCAACATTTCTGTTGTTAGAACCATTGTCAACAGGATATATACCAAACAATTCATGGACAAACAGAAACGCTCCTGGTACCTTTATCATGTTTTGTAGCTAAGATATATGCCTTGACAATGTATATCTGCTCAAGCCTTTAACCAGACTTTTAGCCACAATATCCCCTTAGTCTGGTTCTGACAAATGAATCAACATAGAACATCAGTGTTTTAAATATACATGTGTATGTTGAGCACTACATCAGAGCTTTAACAAAGCGAATGGTAAAGTGAAAAATTGATCATTTATAATAAAGAATATATATTTTAAATTTTAACATATTTGGTTGTTTGAAAAATGTGTGCTGATCAGCGACAGCACACAAAATGTTCAGTGATATCATTAATGATTAGCAAAACTGTACTGATAAGTTGTCACTTTGATAATAGGATCTTTGCAAACCAAGAAAACACAGCAATCCTGTTATCAAGTACCCCGGTATATTATATTTCCATACTGTTCGGGCAAATACCCAATTTTAACATGGCTCTGTTTTGAGCTTAAATTGTATGGTACACCATCAGAAATAGTCATCCTGTCAAATTATCATGAGTCAATGTCATTAGAAATAAAAGCGAGAAAGGAAAAGATAAGGATCCAGGGTACTTATCTTAATAGAAAGGTGATACAATACATTTTATAACAGGAGATTGTCTGTGTGTATGTGTCTGATTTTGATTTGATGACCCACAATAATATACTATCCCTTCTTTCAATCTATACTGAACCACAAAAGAAACATCACCTTTCAAACCAAATGCAAACAAGGTGGTGTTTATTTTATGATTGTACAGTTTTGTTAACAGGGTTTTCAATAAAAATTGACAGAGTTTGTGCATTAAGAAACCTCTATCAGTGTGATGTTACTTTTGCAATTCAGTATTTTTGGTGTTTCAGCTCAGTATGTGTTGGGTGTTTCAGCTTTGTGTGTGTATATTCGATATTTTATTTCTTTATGTGTGGGCTGTTCCAGCTGTTTGTGCATGTGTGGGTTGTTTCAGCTGAGTGTGGATCTGATTTTAGCTCTGTATAACTTAATGTTTCAGCTCTGCAGTCATCTGCATGTTATGGAACTGCCAACAACTTCCTGGAAATGAACTGTGAAGATGGGACTGTAATCAAGGTGACCGAGGTCCTGTATGGAGCTAAGCTTAAGGCTGACAACTGCCCAGTCCCAACTGTCAACACAAACCATGACCCAGCCTGTTGCTACCTCACAGAAACAACCTGTGCCTTCTCTCTCCCAGGGGGTGTTGATGAAAGGACAGACCCCTACAAGGCAGTGTGTGCTGGTCTGACAACTTGCTCCATGCAGACCCAGTGGCTGGACACAACAGGACACTGCAGTGAGGACTACATGTCACACACAAACTTCATGCAACTCACTTACATCTGTCTGAAGGGTAAGTACAAGCAGCCTGGATTTGAACATCTTGACAAAACTGACCACTGACAAAAAAGGACACACCCAGGCACTGACACAACTCAATAATGACACAACCAGGCACTGACACAACTTGATAATGACACACCCAGGCACTGACACAACTCAATAATGACTCAACTCAGTAATGACACAACTCAATAATGACACAACCAGGCACTGACACAACTTGATAATGACACAACCATGCACCGACACAACTCAATAATGACACAACCAGGCACTGACACAACTTTATAATGACTCAACCAGGTACTGACACAACTCAATAATGACACAACCAGGCACTGACACAACTTGATAATGACACAACTAGGCACTGACACAACTTTATAATGACACAACCAGGCACTGACACAACTCAATAATGACACAACCAGGCACTGACGCAACTTGATAATGACACAACCATGCACTGACACAACTCAATAATGACACAACCAGGCACTGACACAACTTGATAATGACACAACTAGGCACTGACACAACTTTATAATGACTCAACCAGGTACTGACACAACTCAATAATGACACAACCAGGCACTGACACAACTCAATAATGACACAACTAGGCACTGACACAACTCAATAATGACACAACTAGGCACTGACACAACTTTATAATGACTCAACCAGGTACTGACACAACTCAATAATGACACGACCAGGCACTGACACAACTCAATAATGACACGACCAGGCACTGACACAACTTGATAATGACACAACTAGGCACTGACACAACTTTATAATGACTCAACCAGGCACTGACACAACTCAATAATGACACAACTCAATAAACTCAATAACAACACAACCAGGAACTGACAAAACTTGATAATGACACAACCAGGTACTGACACAACTCGATGACACAACCAGGCACTGACAGCACACTGACAATACTGGACATTGACACAACCATTCAATGACAATGGACAAAGACACTGACAAAACATTGACAATTATGATATTGTTGAAAAGGGGGCACTTACATAGCTAACGCCACATCCTGAACACCAACGCAAACAGATACTGACAAAACTGGACTCCGACACATTTGGATGGACACTGATAAAACCAGACAATGACACAATTGGGCACCTTCACCTCGTGCCACGGAACAAAATCACCATGACAAATCTTTGGTTCAAAACTAAGGCACCCAACTCTTCACACATAATAGCAACAACTTTCATGTTGTCAGGACAGTGTCATTTTGTATCTTTTCAGGAAAAGCAAATCCTATGAACATGGTGAAAAAGCATCTGTATATTTGTAACAGTTGTTACTTTTTGTGTTGCCAGGAAATTCCAGTCAACCAAACAATGTAGCAGCATCGAGCAAACCAGCGACAACAGCAGCTACAACAACAACAACCACCACAGCAACAACAACCACCACAGCAACAACAACATCCAGAGCACCAAGTACACAAAAGAGAGGAAGTACCACTGTGACTAAGACACCTGACTATGACCTGTATACAGGGACATCTTCTAAACCAACCAAAGACGCAACACCAAGGTCAGGACCAGAACATCCAACATCAGATCGAACTAACAAACCATGGTCTAGATCTAACTTGTCAAATCCTGGGTCTCGATCATCCCCCCACATGACACCCTCCCCATCCCCAGGGAAGCACGTGGAGATGGATGTGACCTTCACAACCACCACTGCAACTGTCAAGTCATCATCGTCAGCATCAACATCCAGTTTTGCATGTGAGTACATGATATGACCTTGTCCCCACAGTGTGACAGAATAATACAGGTAATTTTGACATATTCTGAAAACTTGTGAGTGAGATGGAATATATGCAACTTTGAACAGTACATCCCTCAAAGGTATGTCAAATTAAACAAATAAATGATGACAGTTTCTTAAACAATTTTTTTTATTTTTGTGACACAAATTATGCAATTTTTTTCTAGAGTTGGTCTGTTGTTTTTATTGCAGTCCGCGTTGGTTTGATTCTTTTATGTCGATTTGTTTTTTGTGTTAGATTGCAATTCATCGGTATCATTTTGTCTCAAACGGACTGTATTTCGGTGAAATCAGTGATCACCACCTGAGTCAGCTAAGGGAGGCAATTCTGTATATTAAGTTTGAGGACAGACGGCCATTGGGTCTACCATTTCTCCAAACTAAAAGCCTGAATTGTTATGACTGTCCAAAGTTTAGAGTTAAGTATGGAGTATATTTAAGTGAAATAAGATCACATTTGGAAGCTAATTATATATACAGTTTTTCTGTTTGTTATTTACGCCACAGTCACCAGAATTCCAGCTATATCACTTTACAACAAAATACAATGTCACCAATTTTGAGGAGTTGTGCATCTTAATCCACAAGTTTCACATCAAGATACATTCCATTGATGCACTGATTACAGAGCACAGAACACACTCAACTTCGTGACCTCAATAACTTCAACAAGTTGGTCATGCCTGATGTCACAATGATTAAACATATCACCATATAACTTCCTGATATGCATAATTATGACTATTTCTCGGAAATCAGTAATTAGAAGGAAAGAGAACGCATAATAGAAAAAAGGTGTGTCAGATGTTGCTTTTGTAAGTGCAGTTATACATCTCCATTGTGGCAATACGTATCTCTCTCTCACACACACACACCACAGACAACACATACATCAACACACCTTTTCACAACATCAACACATCACACACACACCACCAAAACACATCAATACATACACACAAATACTCATAAACCACATGCATGATTGACACATGTATCTTCCACACATACACACAGCACCAAAATAAACATTAACAAACACATCGCCAACACACGTTGCATCAAGACACACACATACATCCCAATAATGGAAATACAATTTCTCAACATGGGTTCTAATAAGTCGTCATGAAGTAATCCTAAAGAAATATGACAATGAACAAATAACACTTCTTTCGTAACCATGTAGCCATAATAATTTATTCTTTATTTGCTTCAAAATGTGTGCTACTGCCCCATGGAGACATGGAAGGTTGGTAGTTGTTCCAGATGACTTGATCACAAAACATTAGGAGTAAGCATTACTACATTAATTATTTACCAACATACTTTGTGAACATAGAGTTCATAATAAGGCGAGTGCATATATGGACCATGCTGCAGTACTATTTTCCTAAAGTCAATCAATGTCTGTACAATAAGACAAACGCTGCTGAGTCAAGCAAATGTACCACATAATCTCAGTCAAAGAAGCACTTTCTCTACTTTCACAGGGAATATTTGAGAAAAGTGTAATGAATACCATGTATATTCTCAAAAACTCAAAGGATTTACCTTTGCATTATTGCAATCGCAGAAAATTGTCCAAACATCTTATTTTTTTAGTTGTAAACTACTAACCCAAATTATATGCTCAAGGAAAAGAACTCATTTCTTGATCTATGTGGCATTTGTTACTAAACATGTTGACAACAGATATAATAGATAAATGAAAATGAAAGCATACGACAGATACAGGTAACTAAGAACATAATACAAGGAATGCTGGAGCTCTCTTCAATGCTGTACCATAGTTGCAACAGTTTGGGGTAAAGCATATAGGTTGAATAATCCACAAATCACATACTCTTTTATGCTGATTTGTTACTTTATGCATAGGAAATGGAATTTTTTCTTTGATTAAAAATAGACAAAATAAGGTAATTTGTCAATAAGTTTGGGGTAATTTGATAATCTGATGTCAATAATTGATGCCAATTCTGTTTCACCTGATATATCCTTTTTGTGAGACCATTGTGCCTGCTATGTTTTTTCATATCTATGCATAATGATTCAGGCTGACAAAAATTTCCACCAGAATGAATGACAAGGAGGATGACATCAAGTTTCCAAATGACATCTTTAAAATTTATTGAGCAATACTCCTGTGGCTCTAGCCTTTGGTGTCTACCTACATATAGGTTTAATGAAGAAATATTCTTTCTATGTTTTACTTCAGGTGAACGATTGGGATTTTTTGGTTTTTTTGTTTTTTGTAACTGGTGCCACTGGTTGAGAAGCAGACACTTACCCTTTTTCAGACACAACTGTCACAATCACTCAGTGTGCTCATTTATAAACAAACAATCAACTAAGGTGACAATGCTTTCAGATGACATTTCTTATGAACTTGTAAAGGTCTCTTTGTAGCTCTTCTTTGTATACATGTATCACCATGTACATCTCTGTCTACAAGCACCTGCTGCATCTTCAACATGAAGCCTCAAAAGCAAAATTCTAAACAATATGACTGGCTGAGTATGGTTTTATGCCGTTTTTTAGCAATATTCCAGGAATATCACGGCGGGGGACACCAGAAATGGGCTTCACAAGTTGTACCCATGTGGGGAATCGAACCCGGGCCTTCGGCGTGACGAGCGAACGTTTTAACCACTAGGCTACCCCACCGCCCCTCTAAACTATATGATGTATATTGTAGTTCTCTGTATCACTTTGTGTTGATGACGAGCTGTGTCATCTTGTTCCAGTCACCACAGGAATGATGGGAGGGATGACTGCAGCCATTGTTGGACTAATGCTGACCATCTTTGGCTTCATCTTTTACTGGGGCAGGTAGGTGTCAGCATGATATTCACTTCATGGCCAAATTTCTCTTTGAGGACAAGAGTAACAAGGGAGGTTTGATATGAGGCTAAGATATATCCACAGTTTACAATTCAGAGACAGAATTCTAATATTGTTCTTCCCTAGGGAAACATTTTTTGGGATCATATCCCTTAGAGACACACTTCTCTCAGAAGTAAATCCAGTTCAATAGAATCTATCAAACAAAAGTGTTATATGTTTTTATTCAACATAAAAGCAGTTTTTGATTTAATAATAACTCAGAGGATCACTTTTCAAACTCTTCCCCAGAGAAACAGTCCTTGGCTTTGATATTTACTAACGTTACAACAGCTACCTTGAACAGCTTGCCATTTACAATGGATTTTCAAATTAAGCTACAGCACAAGCAGTGTCATGTATATATTCAACCTGTAGACTAACAAACTGATACAGCTGCTACATGATCTATTCTCATCTCATACAGGAGGAGAAGGAAGCTGTCTACCACCAAAGCCAACAACAGCAGCACCGTTTGGGATTTCCTCCTAGCTCACACGGTTGCTGCCCGCACATTCCGACGACGACAATTTCAGCAACAACCGAGAGTCTGTTAGCTCTGAGACAGATGCAACAACTGGCAAAACAACATGGCTGCCCAACATCCGTGTAGAACCAAGCCCAGACACACAGTCCGTGACCTCAGATGAAAACTGCAGCATCGTGAACATCAACACCCTTGGCACGATCAGCAGCAGACACAACCGCTCTGAGGCATAGACATCCAGAGACTGGTAGTTCATGTTGGCAGAAGATCTATCAATTATGTGAAGTCATCTCCACAAACACTATCAGTACCAGATGAAGGATTGTCTTGTACTTAACATGATTAACACTTTAAACCAAGAACAACTTATGTGATGAGTCAATAATTGTTGACAAACCTGAAGACAGTGGTGTACATGAGTTTGTCCTCTTGACTTTACCCCACTTGTTGCACCAGATACAACTGTGAGGAGTTCCTACCTTCAAAGAAGGAGAAAGAGGTGTAAATCTAGTGTATTATAGTAGTATCTTCTACATTGCTGAATGCACTGAACACATTTGCCTCCACATCTAAATTTTAATGGCATGACTCAAAATAGACATTTATGCACATACAAATAACATCAACACACATTTAAATGATAACTATACACAAACATTTTGTTTACATGGTGTACAAATATTTTCACAAACTATATATTCAAGAAAAACAATGCAAAGAGGGAACTCTTACCTGTAATGAAAACTGAATCACTGATGGGTGTCATTTTCAATACTTTTCAACTTTCAAAATGTTGTTTCCTATCTCTTTGAAGGAAATATCAAAATGGGCATCAACATCACCCTCAATTGTATTTGTATATATTTTATACTTCTATTTTTAGTTGTACATATTGTTAAAACTGGGAGACCAAGTCTCATGTTGGTATTGACTGTAAATACATCTGTCCAACAGATTGCTTTGTGCATACAGCTTATGAAACGGTCAAGGTTACAGATAGGCCTGCTACACAGCAACATAGAAAACCTCATTCACAGCCTAACATGTAATAATAACATCCAGTGTCAAGTCAGACTTGATGAGTGAAGAAATGTTTTTCTTTATTACAGGATCCTAAAATCTTGTTTTTCAGAACTTGTTAACATTCAGCATATCTCATACCCGAAGCCGACTGAAAACCACTCGGACCCACAGCTATTCTGCATGTCCTTATGACCGACAGCTTCTTCATCCCAAATAACTAAAAGTATTATTTCCAAATTAAAATATTGGGCCTACACATTCTGATCAGGACCCACAGCTTTTTTATGGTTTTGGGTCCTTAGGGCCTGCAGCTTTTCAGGGTTAAGGGGAAACACTGCATCCTGGCTTAGTTATTGAGACTGTGCAATGGCTTAGACTACTAAAGCCACCTATACCTTCCTCTTGTTGGGAGAGTCCACAAACACGAATTACTAGCTGACAAAATGTTAGAACATTGGATGTGCTATGACATGTATGAGGTGATATAGAACTATATTGGTGTGCATCAGGCTGATCACAAGCTCATTATGGAATAAACATGTTAATGCTGAAATACCGAGTTCTTTTCTGTTGAAATTCGGCTTCTAATGTATTCTGCATAGGGGGAATGAGAGTGAGAGCGAGTGATCATGGTGTATCACACCTGTTTACTTTGAATCCATGTGTGTCAGCTTAATGTGTGAGGACTGCCCAATGTCTCGGACATTGGCCACTTTGGTGAAACCCCATAAGCAAAGGTATTGTGCTGACAAACCTTAGGATATATTTTGGGCTAATCAGGAGGATTTGGGGTGTATCAAACAGTGCACCAATCCCAGATGGTAGACCTCTGATTTGCAGTCTCAGATCATATTACTTTATTGAAACTGAGGCAGATAACTGGAACCTACAACAGGAACATGGAGGTTTCTCAAAAATGATTTCATTTTGAGTAAAGTCATAATCAAGATTACTTGAAAATTTACTTACATCCTATTAAACTAAGAAAATCCTGATATTTTATACTCGAATGTAAGCAAAATATCAGTTGTAACAAAGGAAGGGTACACCCATGATTAAAGAGCAGGGTCCTCATCCACAAAGCTTTTGTAGCGCTACGACATTCGTAGGCCGAAGGTCTGACTGACTGACTGACTGAATTTGGTTTTACGCCGCTTTTAGCAATATTCCAGCAACATCACGGTGGGGGACACCAGAAATGGGCTTCACAAATTGTACCCATGTGGGGATTCGAACCCGGGTCTTCGGCGTGACGAGCCAACGCTTCAACCACTGGGCTACCCAACCGCCCTAGGCCGAAGGTAAACTATATAGTTACAACATGTCGTAACATTACAGACGGTCTGGGTCAGTCTCCATAAAAAAAATTGCTCAAATAATCTGTGTGGAACCCTTTCCATGACAAGGTGGACAAGTCAGTGTCATTGAATGGCTGTACCATTAATGCCTTTGATACCCTGTCCATTACAAGACAGACTGGCACAGTGTCAGCACAAGGCTTTGTACCATTAATCCCTTTGATACCCTGTCCATTACAAGACAGACTGGCACAGTGTCAGCACAAGGCTTTGTACCATTAATCCCTTTGATACCCTGTCCATTACAAGACAGACTGGCACAGTGTCAGCCCAAGGCTTTGTACCATTAATCCCTTTGATACCCTGTCCATTACAAGACAGACTGGCACAGTGTCAGCACAAGGCTTTGTACCATTAATGCCTTTGATACCCTGTCCATTACAAGACAGACTGGCACAGTGTCAGCACAAGGCTTTGTACCATTAATCCCTTTGATACCCTGTCCATTACAAGACAGACTGGCACAGTGTCAGCACAAGGCTTTGTACCATTAATGCCTTTGTTTAGTTAACCCTTTCTTCACTCTTATTCTCATAGTATAAAACCCAAATCAGGATGAATAAAACTATGCATAACCCTAGTAAAACTGCTAAAATTAATAGAGTGCAAGTACTTCTGGGTACTAAAAGTCATAGAGAACAGCCAGTTCAGTCAGTCCCTCTGGGAATTCACCCTACAGTTAGATGAATAAGGATCAAATGCAAACTAAAAATAATCTTCATATCATATCTTGGCCAAAAATATCAATAAAATCATGAAAAGTTCATTTCGACACGACAAGGACATTCACAAATACTGGTCTAAGTTTGAAACTAATCCCATTAGTACATTACAAGAAAGCAACAACACAAATCCACACATGGTTTCAATGGCTGTGTGGTCACTACTTCAGTAAAGTGGGTGAATCAACTTGCAGCAGATTCTGATTCCCAGCCACACAATTCATTCATAAATATGTTACTTCACAGAAAGATGACCTTCTGTCTCCACAGGTACTGGCCAACTCTTCACCATGTTTACACAGTGAAATCATTCTCTGTTATATTATGATGGTATGTAAAGCACAGATAAAACAATACATCATCCAGTTCTCTGTTGTCAGTGATGAAAAATAACCAAACATTTTTTGTATTATTAAGCACTCCCTGACTTATCTGTACCAGTCTGCAAAGCATCTTCTGCCTGTTTCTTACTGAAGCTAAAAATTGATATGACAGTATTTACTTGTGAATACCAATGATTTTTAAATAAAAAATAAAAAGAGTATATCATTGCCTTGTAAGTATTTAAAACAAAAGATGTAGTTTCATCAACATTTGAACTAAGTGTGTTACTGTTGTTTGATGTCTGTAAACAACTTACACAGCTTACAGGTTCTAATTATGGCAGATACAGTAACTCAGATGCTATATTTGTATGATTTATTAACATTTAGGGCCATATTTACACACATTCAAACCAGTGTTATTCTTGTCTGTTAAAAATAGTGCTGCACACTACTATCTCTATAAGGGTACAACCCGTGAAGGTCCGGGTTAGAATGAACCTTCAGTAACCCATGCTTGTCGTAAGAGGCGACTAACGGGATCGGGTGGTCAGGCTCGCTGTCTTGGTTGACACGTCATCGGTTCTCAATAGCGCAGATCGATGCTCATGCTGTTGATCACTGGATTGTCTGGTCCAGACTCGATTATTTACAGACCGCCGCCATAAAGCTGGAATATTGCTGAGTGCGACATAAAATTAAACTCACTCACTCACTCACTATAAGGGTACATCAATGTTTAACCTATATATTTCTACAGAATAAAACAATAATAGACAAAATCTTTTCTATTCAACAGATACTTTTATCAAGTTATCTATTTGATTATTTTTTCTATCTGCCCTCATGTCAGTCATGGCATCCAAAGTTTTTAATCAGGATCATTTTCAGTCTTCAGTTATAATCTGTTGCAATGGTTGCCATTTAACATTTAACTTACTTTCATTCCTTCATGAAATTTAGTTTTCAGACAGGCAGACTTTCAAACCATGTTTTTGCCTCCGAATCTCATTCCTGCACCATGACTGCAGAATATCTGCATACAATTTACTAACAAGCAGTAGAGATGATGGAAATGGGTAAATCCATTTTGCTCTATTCCACAAGACTTCAGCAGCTGAAGGAAAACTAAAGGAGAGAAATGTATTGTGTAATACGAGATTTAACAGACAATGTATTCAACTAGGAAAGTCTGGAATCAAGCATACCATGATTTATAATTGTTGACTTATATGATTTACGATTGTTGATTTACCGTCTTGAAACATCCCATCATATCATACTCTTGGTTTAAATCAATCTGTAAACAAACATATTCCATGTTGTAAACAAGCATATTCCATGTTGTAAACAAGCATATTCCATGTTGTAAACAAGCATATTCTATGTTGTAAACAAGTATATTCCATGAGGCAAATGTCAAAAGTCATCTGAAATATATGAACTACTGATTATCTGATTATTTGCATTAAACTCAAGCCGAAGTACGCATCACACACCACCAGGTAACTCTAGACAAGCTGACTGCCTGAGAATCCTTCCAGTTAGACAGATGACCCATTTCCCCATTGTAATATGTGATGTGCCCACTGAATCGTGACACGCGTAGCCACAGAGAGATCGTGCAAACACTTCTTATGAAAGGGACCGCCAGCCAGCTCCATACAGTCCGTATCATAATACTATTCCAAAGAACTTGAGCAGATGTACATAGATCCCAAACTGCATATGCACGAAGGAAACTATAAATAACCTACAAACTTGTTCGGGTAGCATGCAAGGGTGTGTGACTTCATAACAAACCAGGACAGGTAGAGTTTGTTGTGTTCTGCAAGGTACACCAGTACAACATGACAGTTTGATGGTGTTGTGACAGTTAACACCACAACCAAATACAATACTGCAGTGATATTCCCTGGTTCCAGTGTTACCTGCGGACCTGCGGACCTGCAATCTGAACAGAGGACACCATTGTGGATACAGCACATGACAACGCAGGTTTTTATAACTACAAACTATAAAGACAACCAAACCCAGATCTTATGCCTAGAAATGAGTCTGTCATGAGGTGAAAGCCCAAGGACACTACTTCTTCCTTCTACAGCATCTACGCTGAGGCAGAGTCAATTAAACCAGGATCCCAAGAACATGTTTATTATATTCTCCACTGGAGCAGAGAAGAGTTGGGATATACACATTGCTGTTTGCAACAAATTGTAATGTAACCTGTCACTTGATTCTGAAGACATGATCCTTTCATGTCATGTGCGTATAAGTAACAGCAAGGATGCATGTTGTATGAACTGAAGTAGAAATATTTTCCTGGTTATCTGTGATATACATGACTGGACACATTCAATAACAACCCTGTCTCACAGCCAAGTAGAAGATGGCACACACCATGTTGGTGTCACTCTCCCTTCTCCTCCTCATACAGTGTGGTAAGTTGAGGAAGATACAATTATGGTCATTTTTCTTGGTAATAAGCATATTCAGTCAGTATATTATGATATCAGAAAGCAGTAACAAGTGTCTTTTAATTTTACTAAAGGCAATGTGTCCTAGTTGTATTCACTTACTACTGTTTATGGTGGAGCATAATCAACAAGATCTGGGTCTACTTGCACAAAGAATTCTCATGTCTACGATGTTACATCTGACCACTTTCTAAATGCTGTTTTGTATTCTTAAGACTTGAAGACCGGGCTGGTACAAGCAGCCGCACATTCACATACACACGCATGCACGTCGTCATATAAGCGAAATATTCTCAGGCACGACGTTAAACCCAATTTCACCTCACCTCACCTCTTAAGACTTGATATAGATATAGAAAAGATGCACCAGTGTATCCTTTTAATGAAAAATGCAACCTACTATCTCTGCCTGCCTGCCTGAGTTTGTTTTACGCCGCTTTTAGCAATATTCCAGCAATATCACGGTGGGGGACACCAGAAATGGGCTTAACACATTGTGACCATGTGGGGAATCGAACCCGGGTCTTCGGCGTGACGAGCCAACGCTTTAACCACTAGGCTACCCCACCGCCCTATCTCTGTTTTCATGCATGTGAAGTCATTTCAAATTTATGTCTGACTATCAGACAAAATTTATCTTTAAACACACTTAGTTCCTCCAAATTATTTTTACCATCGTACTTCATTAATCCTTGTGTAATGTATACTTTTGTGTCCTTTGGCATGACATCCTCGAACTGTGGGTGCTTAAAGATTATGTTCCTATTACAACAATGCATAATTAATTAGTTTGACACATACAGCAGTGTTTCTCAAAACTAATTGAATGAAGTATGGAAATATATTTCATGTCTGTCAAAGATCTATAAGAATCAGTGTGACCTACTTCTTCCTTGATCACCTGCTTAAACAGAGAGTGGATAAGCCTATGGTTCAACTTAATAACTTATTAACAAAATTGATGGGAGGAGGTTTTGTTTGGCTCCCCTGCGTCTTAATGCCAACATGAACCTGGCGTATGTTCTGATTATGTCTCAAATTATTGTAAAATGGATATATTCTTCATGAATTTATTAAACAATTCAACAAATTTTCACCATGTTGAACACATCACACATTCCTCAAGTCTTTAAAGACCCTGCTTTTGTCACGGACTTGTCAATGGAAACAATTTACTGCCTGACTCAAGGTTTTGTGGATATTCCTCTTCACCATGTACTGTCCACTACAAATGGTTCACTATTACACATTTCCTGCTGTGCAAGACTCTGAACTTATCAGTCAATCCTTGTCTGTACAGCATAGCTACATCATAATTCAGCAAGAATGATTGATGAAAAGTAAAATGTGTAGGATCATCTCAATATTTTTCAGTGATGGCAACTCTGTGTTTTACAACACACTTTGCAGATAAGGTAACACACCTGCATAATGTTTCAGTTCAGGCAACACTCCACAACAATTGTACATAATGATTCAGTTCAGGCAACTCTGTAAAACACATCTTCATAATGTTTCAGTGTAAAATACATCTTCATAATGTTTCAGCTCAGGCAACACTGTACATCAATTGTACATAATGATTCAGTTCAGGCAACTCTGTAAAACACATCTTCATAATGTTTCAGCTCAAGCAACGCTGTACAACACATCTTCATCATGCTTCAAAGGCACTGGAAGGAATGAACAAATATCTGCCACCTGTGACCTCAACACTACCACTGAGGTAGGGATCATTGCTGTTCGCAGACTGTTTTATGGGGTAAAACTGAAGAGCAATGAGTGCCAAAGTACAGATAATGCCTCTGTGTGCTGTGAACACAAGAAAACAGATTGTCTTCTAGTCTCTGCAGCTGGACAGCTCCCTGAGACCACAATGTCAGGATGCTCTGGCCAGGCAGAGTGTCTGATTCAAGCCAAGCAGAAGTTCACTGGCTCCTGTCCATATTCCAGCCTCTTTCCTTCCTTCACTACATATGGCCACATGGAGTATGAATGTATCAACGGTAAGTTGCTCCACACATGGATTACAAATATGTCTGTGGTCAGTGGCTCAACACTTTGAATAAAAATGTATGAGAAGTAAGCAGTTCCACATATTTCATACAAATGTTTTCAATGGTAAGTTACAAGAACTAAGTCATTTTGCACACATTTTGCTTATAAAGGGCATGAAGACTCACAACTTATTTCCTTTGATCTTCACAAATCAGGTTCAATCATATAATTGTATAAGCAAGGTATAACTGTTTTGAATTTGTGGGGCACAGTAGGCCAAGTTAAGGGGTCATGATGGTCCCATTGTCAAAGGCACTGCAATATTATGTGCGGAGTTGCAACCATTAGCAGTGTATGAAATAAGGCCCGTCTGCCCGCCTGAGAGTGGCTAGATTTCTGACAGATGGTCTAAATTTACAGCAAGCCAGCCCGATTGTCTGAATTCTTTTTACATGTTCCATACATTCACCATATCTTGGTGTCTGGTCTGGTTTAATCCATATTGGGGCGGTAACCATTTGAAGTTACAAGCCCTGATTTCTTGCTGGGTTTTTGGCTTATTTCATACACTGCCATTAGGCATGCCACAAACTGTGTGTTTGAATATCAGTTAGTCCTGCTATCTTTCAAATTTTGTCAGAATCAAACTTGGACATACAAGTTTTTATGACAGTGGTACACATCTAACATCTCCATCACTTTAGGCTATCCTCCCAAATCAAGCAGACATGAGTGACTTTAATACTCTTCAAAGTGCAGCCATCATATCGACTCTCTCTTGTGATCTTGATCTAGAAGATCATGTCACTAACCTAAGACATCACCTTAGACATGCCTCTATTCACTTTTGTTTTAGAGGGGCTCCTGATAGACATGTGCCATGCAGGCATCATTGAGAGCAACAAGATCCTGTACATTTCCAGCAACATCTACCATTTGAACAATGAGCACCAGGACAAGTCCTGCTCCTGTTCAGTGACAACAAAGTGTGGGGAAACTATAGACGTAGAAGCCGTTGACATCCGGCTGCACCGAACCCATAGATCCTGCACAGAGAACCTCCTCATCCTGGACAACAAGAACACCACCCATAACAACACCATTACATGTTACAACACAGGCCTCAATGGGTTCATCAACATCTTCACAAGCCAATCAAATAGTCTCACCTTGAACATGACTATCAATGGCAACCACACAGGAAAAGTCTGGATCAAATTAAAAGGTAATGTTACATACATGCATTCAGTTACTATGTCCTGAAAACTGTACCTTACTGTAGAAATTGATTTACCTAGAATTCTAAACTAAGTGCTCTGAGAAAAAAAAATTACTTTATCAAATATGTAATTTTTGGAGTAAAATTGATATTTTATACTTATCCTGACTCATGCTCTTTTTGCTTGTCTTCTTCTTCTTGCGAACATAGTGGAACACTTGTATCTCCCTAATTGAAGCTCCCTTCAATTTAAAATCACTAATTAGTATTCACCACGAGTTACCTCCTTTCCACAAGCTCGGGAACGAGGGCGCCACCTCTACCCATGTGCCCCACTCTCTCCTCATATACTGAGCCCAACATTTGAATTTACAGGGAAATCCAAAGTGTTATTTGGGGAGGATGGGAGGGCTGACCTCATGAGTCAGGATAAGTATAAAATATCAATTTTACTCCAAAAATTACATATTTTTCCTTATCCTGACTCATGCTCTTTTTGCTTGTAGCATCCTACGGAACGGAGGTGGGAATATCTAATACTTTGGATTTTTAATAATTAGTGATTTGAACTGTGATGATTGTAATAACCCTATGGGAACTTCATAAAGGCACTGAACTGATGAATTCCTGCTGCTAACTTATCAGCTGCCATATAAAAGGTTATTACCATGTACTTATTATGATAAAGTATATATAACATTAATACAATGCTTAAGACTAATAGACTTAAGCTTGTTAATATGCTAGTATAAACTCCTTAGAGTTTGTTAGCTAAAATACTTTAAGATATAACATAGTACTAAGCTTAAGATATGATTAAACTTAAGCTAATTATATAATAGCAAACTCTTTAGAGTTTGTTAGTTAATATACTTATATGATATAGATATAATGCTGAGCTTAAGATATGAATAAGCTTTAGCTACATATATAATAGCAAAAACTCTGTAGAGTTTGTTAGCTAATATATTTTTATAATATGAGTATAGTACTGTGCTTAAGCTATAATTAACTTAAGCTACATATATAATAGCCAAACTCTGTAGAGTTTGTTAGCTAATATATTTTTATAATATGAGTATAGTACTGTGCTTAAGCTATAATTAACTTAAGCTACATATATAATAGCCAAACTCTGTAGAGTTTGTTAGCTAATATATATTTATAATATTAGTATAGTACTGAGCTTAAGATATAATTAACTTAAGCTACATATATATAGCAAAACTCTGTAGGGTTTTGTTAGCTAATATATTTTTACAATATGAGTATAGTAGTGTGCTTAAGATATAATTAACTTAAGCTACATATATAATAGCAAAACTCCGTAGAGTTTGTTAGCTAATATATTTTACAATATGAGTATAGTAGTGTGCTTAAGATATAATGAACTTAAGCTACATATATAATAGCAAAACTCCGTAGAGTTTGTTAGCTAATATATTTTACAATATGAGTATAGTATTGTGCTTAAGATATTATTAACTTAAGCTACATATATAATAGCCAAAAAAACTCTGTAGAGTTTATTAGCTAATATGTTTATAGTGTAACCATAGTACTAAGCTTAAGATAAGATTAGACTTAAGCTAAATGTATATAGCAAAATAAACTCCTTAGAGTTTATTAACTAATATACTTTTTATGTTAAAAACATAGTACTGAGCTTAAGTTATGATGAAACTTAAGCTATATATATATAATAACAAAACTCCGTCGAGTTTTGTTAGCTAATACCTTTATAATGTAAACATACTGCTTAAGATATGATGAAACTTAAGCTAATTGTATAATAGCGAAAACAACCCTTTAGAGTTTGTTAGCTATGATATAAACCTAGTATTGAGCTTATGAAGGAAAACTTAAGCTACATATATAATAGCAAGAACTCCGTAGAGTTTGTTAGCTAATACATGTTATAATGTAACCATAAAGCTTAAAATATGATGAAACTTAAGCGAAATATATAATAGCAAAACCCTCTTTTAGAGTTTTGATAGCTAATATACCTATATGATATAAACATAGTACTGCGCTTAAGATATGAATAAGCTTAAGTTACATATATAATAGCTAAAACTCTGTAGAGTTTGTTAGCTAATACATGTTATAATATAACCATATTGCTTAGAAATATGATGATACTTAAGCCAAATAGCAAAAACTCTTTAGAGTTTGTTAGCTAATCTACTTATATGATATAAACATAGTACTAAGCTTAAGATATGAATAAGCTTAAGCTACCTATATAATAGCAAAACTCCTTAGAGTTTGTTAGCCAATATATTTTAATAATATGAGTATAGTACTATGCTTAAGGTATAATTAGCTTAAGTTACCTATATAATAGTAAAACTCCATTAGAGTTTGTTAGCTTAATTAACTTAAGCTATGTATAAATAGCCAAAAACTCTGTAGAGTTTGTTAGCTAATGCATTTATCATGTAACCATAGTATTACTCTTAAGATATGAATAACTTAAGGTAAATATATATAATAACAAACTCTGTAGAGTTGTTAACTTATATATTGTATGATGTAATAATCATAGTACTGTGATGATAAAAGGAACTTAAGTAAATTATATATAGCATGAAGCTATTTAGTATTGTTATAAGATAAGTAAAAATCTGTTAGATTGACTTATCTTCTCCGAGGAACTGTCAGCTGTTGTGCGAGGAGGACCATGGGATCGAATTGGTGTATACCTGAGACGTCCTCGGTGGTGATATCTCTCAGATAATGGTTTGCAACCACCATATCGGATTTCCAGAAATAAACCCTCCATTATTTCAATCACATTTGTGTAGAACAATTGTAGAAGTTAGCTATAATATCATGAGTATTAAGCTCATGGAGGGTCGGAATAGGTCCATCCGCATATGCACGTAGTATGACAGTTCTGATCCAAATGGAGATATAGTACATGAGACTTCACTCTGGGCGTAAGTTGATGATAGAGGAAATAATCTGTTGCATTTTTCCTCCTGTTTGGTTTGGTGGAGATAAATTTACAGTGCTCTTGCTGGCCATCTTGATAGAATCATCGTATCATGGGGTCCAAGTATGTCATCCAGGCGTGTTCATAAACCTCACTTGTGAGGTGTTGGAGCACTATATTCATATCCCCAGGTTGGGCGGAAATTTCCGTTTTATTCTCCAAACAGAAGTTTAGTAGGTTTACTAACCATCTAGTTGTGTTAGTCGCTTGATGAAATTCAGCTGTAGTCTGAAACGCTGTGGATTTAGATCCACTTGTATCTTTCGTCTAGGTAATTCGCTGCGAAGTCCTTGACGATGTAGGTGCACAACCAGGTGTGTCTGTCCTCGTTGAACTTTATGTAAAATCGCCTGACTGCCGATCCCTCGTCTTAACTTGACAGGGGAGGTCTCTAACTTGAAGAAAGGCAGTCTAATCATGAATGTTCAGGTTAACTGGACTGTAATGAGGCTTGCTCGTTCACTGATATATAGTTGTCACTTGTGACGTAAGTCTTGAACTGTGAATTGAGATCGACCTCTGTGTAGGTCGTTGTCCCTCGCGGTCCAATCAGAACAAGGCATTTTGATTCTGTATAATACCCGCGCTGTGATGTCACCGGTGTAGCGGGAAAAAACCCACCTTGAATAAATTCTTGTCGTCGTTGATATTAGCATAAACGTCGGTCTTCACCGTAGCTTCCCGAAGTTATCCGAGTGACCACGTGTTTCGAGGGTTAATGGTAATCGCTGAAACCTCCGCGCCAAATATCTCGCTCTGTAATTTTATGCTGGGTAGGTTATTTTCCTGGTTGTCGTGAAAGTAATTTCAGTTTTGAATATAATTCACTTCCTTATATATAAGGGTATAAACAACTTGCAAGTTGTGAGCTTGTAGACTGTATACATGAATGTATCGTCATAATTGTAGAATTAACGTTGAACTTGTTGTACATATTTCTTCTCAGAAACTTTGACGATTAAGAGTTATACTCGCTGTAACAAGGCTGCTGTTCAATTTCGATATTGAATTGTCTGCAGATATGCGTAATGGTCACGCATGTAGATAATCGTATCGTCGTCCGGGATTGTATATTAGCAATTTATACGGAATAGTTGATTTCTGTGAAGATCTATGAAATGTTGTTGACTAATAATACAGCGACGCTCTGTGTTGTAAATAGCCTGAGCAATTATCTTCGCGTGAGGCTTATAGATCGCATCTGGCATACAGTTGATAATCAACTTATGCGACGCCTTGAACGGACTGACGAGTAGCTATATATGACGAGTGGCTAGTATATGGAAACCTTGGAGACTTCCTCGGTGAACGCCGGAGACTTCGCGAAGTTCGCTAAGTATCCCTTCTAGATCTTCTGGGTGAAGTAGACTTGGAGTTACTTTTAGCCTTCGCGACCATCGCGAAGGTGTCGAAATCAAAGCCCGATTAGTATATATATATATATATAAATATATATATGAGCTTGCTTCGCGAACAGCCTCTGTGTTTAACAGGATGTGGGATCGGCGGCTTGCCTAAAATAGGGTCAGCATGGATCATCTTATCATATTCAGAAGTCGGTGTTACGAAGTCTGGTGATAAGTGTCTAATTGATCGTTCTAGATCTATTTAGGCCAGCGAACATACGTCTCGGCATGGATTCAACAGAACCAATATACGATTGTAGTTCTTATACTTGATATCGATGATCAACTTGTCTATGGATTGATCTTCTCGAGACTTGTGAGGGGAACGTTGATAGTTTCGCCGAAGCTCTTGTATAGTCCCTCGATGTCCTTCTAGATGATGATGATCTGGATTCAGGTGTCCTTTCATAGCATGCCTTCGCGAAGCTTCCTCTGCGTCCGGTCCGGGGGAACGACGATATGACCTTCGCGAAGGCTTCCGTGATGTCTGATGGTCCGAGTCCACATCTAGGGATGAAACCGCATAAGGTGATGATCTATCCTGCCTTCGCGAAGTCCTTCGCGAAGGCTGTACATCTAGGTTCTTTCCGCCGCGCTGTACATCTAGGTCCTTTCCGCCAAGGTGGTCCGCGACTGTACATCTAGGTCCTTCGACAAGGTGGTCCTGGACTGCCTTCGCTGAAGGTGACGGGGTGCCTCTGCTACGTGGCCGGGGGTGCCTCTGGGGTGCTGTCACGTTGGAGCCTTCGCTGGTTGCTCGGACCCTGCTACCGCAGATTATAGTGGTCCTCCATGATGTTCATAATTTGTCGCATCATGTCTTCTGGGATGGTCTCTAATTTGGCGAGGTCGCCGGTGCTTTATCTGCGGTGTTAATGGAGGAGTCCACCGAAAATCGTCCGACATCAGTGTAGAGGCATCAGGCTGCATGGTGATCTCTGCTGATGTCGCTTAGCTGTCACCGGTCGTTTCTTGTGGCGTGCGTCGGGGATGATGATCAGCTGATCATCGTAGAGGTCCAGGTCATCGGCTGGAACAATCTCGGTTGAGAAAGTCCTAGTAGACTTCGTTGATTTTCCCTCAGAGGTCGACGCTGCCCTGGGTGTGCGACGCCTGCGCGCTGAGTGTTGGTAATGATGGGACCCTCAGGACGATCATCGCATATCTGCGCTTGGTACATCAGGCTGCATGCTGATCTGTGCCGACATCGGTCAATCTTTGATGTACATCCGGTATGATGACCGGCTGATCATCATACAGGCCCAAAACTGCGATGGGAACGGTCTCCGGCTGTTGAGATGTAGTAGAAAAACCCTCTAGTCTTCTGCTGCGGCGATGGGATGTCTGGGGAAGCAGGATGCTTCTTGGAGATGGCGGACTACGTCCCACACCTCTCCACCACTCTAGCGGAACACCACACGGGAGGGAGTCGGCCAACAGCAGTAGACTGGCGAGGGGTTCCGTGTATCAGTCATACTAGACTCTGCATACGCGACCTATCTGCTGCGTGCAAACGCAAAGTAAATATTAATAAAAAGGTAGAATTGGATAAATTAGTACCGCAACTGCAATGTGAATATAATAAACATGGCTACCGTACATCATATTAAAGGCGGATCAGCAGCAGCATAAAAACGTAATCTGCAATAGTACAGAATTTTCATCAACGTAATCCACTGAAACAAACACGGGCCCCGTGAATAAACTGTAGAAAACGACTAAATATCAATATATAATCGTTGAAGGATACTAGCTAAACCTCTATAGATGTCTATACGAGGTAACTAACTAAATATAATTCAAAGGATATAGTGTGTCGGGAGACACAGGCGCTCTCACGTCCAGCTCACTGGGCGAAGAAGGAGAGAGTGGGGCACATGGGTAGAGGTGGCGCCCTCGTTCCTGCGCTTGTGGAAAGGAGGTAACTCGTGGTGAATACTAATTAGTGATTTTAAATTGAAGGGAGCTTCAATTAGGGAGATACAAGTGTTCCACTATGTTCGCAAGAAGAAGAAGACAAGCAAAAAGAGCATGAGTCAGGATAAGGAAAAATTAAGTATTTAGAATTTTTATTTCTTTTACAGAATTCTGATGTATTTTAACATTGCAATAATGTGAAAAAAGGGCATAACTTCCTCTTCCTCATTATATACTTCCTTTAAAAAGTTTAGACTCACTTAAAACACTCACTTTTGGATATATATATGGTTACATCGTAGACTGACCCATGAAGGTGTGGGTTAGAATATTGATCTTCAGTAGCCCACGCTTGTCGTAAGAGGCGACTAACGGGATTGGGTGGTTAGGTTCGCTGACTTGGTTGACATGCTCATCGGTTCCCATGCTCATGCTGTTGATCACTGGATCATCTGGTCCAGACTCGATCTTTTACAGGACCATCGCCATATAGCTGGAATATTGCTGAGTGTGGCGTAAAACATAACTCACTCACTCACATCATAGACTTATTTCTCAACTAACATGAGGGAACCAACTGCAAACCTTATGCAGACGAATTGCACAAGGATCATGCATCAAATTGCTGAAAGGCATGTGCAATGACATGCATGTGAACAGCTGCATTTTGCTGTAAAGTTTTTGTTAAGAATCATTTATTGGACTCATGCAATAATCTTTTCAACGTTAAGATTTCTTTTTACAATACATCAGTTCATTTGTAAACAGTACCTTCAAACAGTATGGAACATTTTGCAAAATATAGTTTAGAACACTTGCCTGAAGTGGCTATATTTACACTAGTGAGTCTAAACATTTAAAAGGAAGTATATATTGGTCCTGTTATCAAATATTTCTAAAGAGCTATGTACACTTATGCCTATAAAAAACTATTAAGCAAACTATTTGTCAATATTTTGGTACTTACCTAGCAATCTAGATCACTTAAAATATTTGAATAATAAGTGATGGTTTTGCCACACCATGTCATCATTCATGGCCAGATAAACCAGATAAATGTCAGGTTTTGCCTTGTCAAAAACACTTGACCAGCCCATTTTAAAAAAATAGTAACCATAATAGACTGAAAATGATAATCCAAGTTCCCTGAAGTGGATCTTTCTTCTCATGATAGCCTTATTGTCTTCCAACCTATATGACATGACTGTGCTGGCAGGGACATCACCAAACACCACTGTGAATCTCAAGTGTGGAGTATTGAGCACTCATCCAGACCATCTCTGTCCGGGGGACATGACAACACCACCTGTGACAACACCACCTGTGACAACACCACCTACAACACCACCACCTACACCAACATCAGCAACAACTCCAACGACAAGTAAGTCACATTTCATCAAAACAGTTTGACAGTTTCGGTTCAGGGCTAGCTGTAATGAATTAATGACTTGGAGGAATTCTTAACAGGAAGTGGCCCAGAGAATCCCTTCATTTTTAAAAACAGAAGAAATAGAGACAACGCACTGACAAGTCTGCTTTAGGGCCTGAATGAGCAGGTCAGGATTTAGGGCCTGTATTAGGATTTTTAAAGTTTTGTCATATATTCAAATAATGTATGTAAGAATGCAGGACACACTTTGTATATGTTTGATCTTGTAAGAAGAGAGCGGTTCCCTGTATATTTCAGCTGTCAAGAAGTGTGGATCTGAAGAGGACTGTGGGGAGCCAGTTCCACCAGGTAAAGGGGATGATACAATCTTGGGGTGTTTTTGTTACCATTGGTATTCCACTGTATTTATCTTCATTTTAAGATTATGATACAATATAACAGAAAACATGATACATAAACCTGTATTTTATCAGCAGAGTTAATCTGAACCATATCAAACAACTGCGAATTAATCCTGCACACAATGGTTTTGGCATCTTATTCCTATTTACAGAAAATCGAATGTTACAACTCATTTTTTGTACTAAACATATAAAATGTTCTCCATACAATTTTACATCAATTACTTCATTGTATGATACTGAAGTCATGGAACAAAGGATCTCCCTGTGCTAATACTCTGTCACAATCCTAGGGTATAGCAGTAGCTGTTGGTGATGTGCTGCTTCACCTCATATATGTGAAAATCAAGTTACTGTCATAGACTGGACCATCTGTTTGGATAGTCTGTCATATGAATGTGTATAGCCCTTTCTAGTTGTCTTACACAACTCCTGAAACAACTGGTTCACTGTTCCATTATGCTGTTTGGAGAGGGGTACAGGGCATCAAAGACCAAGTGGGTGAATATAAGGCCAAGAGTAAAACTAGATTCATTTGTATGTATGGGCATATAATGTACATACATGTCTGTAATTGCTTGTGTTTCTCATTGTTCTGTGATGGTGCATGTGAACTGTTGTCATGGTGGTGAATGTTGGTGGCGTGATGTGGCATGGCATAGTGTGGCATGGTGTGGTTTTGTGCAGCGTGGCATGGCATGGCATAGTGTGGCATGGTGTGATTTTGTTTGGCATGGCATGGCGTGGTTTTGTGTGAGTGCCTGTGCTCACCTGGTACACTTTCCCGGTTGACACACTATTTAGATGGGCAAGGGAGACATTTCACCCTGTGATATTACCATATTCAACTACTTCTTCTTGTGTGGCGTGGCGTGGGTTTGTGTGAGTGCCTGTGCTCACCTGGTACACTTTCCTGGTTGACACACTATTTAGATGGGCAATGGAGACATTTCACCCTGTGAATGTTACCACATTCAACTACTTCTTCACTCAACAACTGGTTTACTCCTATACTAACAAAAACAGTACTCAATGCCAACTATCAACATAGATCTAAGAATTGACACTAAAAGTTGTGAATTTACTTGCATTCTCTTTAAAATTTGATCTCTCGCCCTGCTAAAGAAATATCTGAAGAGATCCCACTGATCACTCTGAGCGAGCGAGTTTGGTTTTACGCCGCTTTTAGCAATATTCCAGCAACATCATGGCGGGGGACACCAGAAATGGGCTTCACACATTGTACCCATGTGGGGAATCATACCTGGGTCTTCGGCGTGACGAGCCAACGCTTTACCCACTTGGCTACCCCACCGCCCCAATCACTCTGAACGTCCCAGATAGGGAAAGTGACAATCAGAGTGTGTTTTCTTATCATGCAACTTCCAAAATGTTAACAAAAGGGGTATACTGCTGTCAACAGTCCATCCAAATCCTCATCCATTATCTCCCTCCAACGGAATAATAATTTTGAAACGGATTAGACTTTACATACAATATCAGTCATCTATTAGCTTTTCATGCCTTTTGTTCAGTTTTAAAATTTTGAATCAAGAACTTTATAATTTATTAGAAAATATGTTTCAACAAGTTGTCTGGAATGGATGTCACCAGTTTGAAACTAGTGCCATCATCCTCAAAGTAATAACGCTGTTTGATCCACTACTTCCAAGTTCATGCTTGTCATTTCATTGGTCAGTCAAAGTTTGTGAAAGGTCACTCTGACATGTCCTGTAAAAATGTCGTCAGATCTTTGTTCAGCAGTTACAAATCTGATTGACTTTTACTCTTTATTAACCCAATTACTTGTAGTGTTTTTCCACCAACATTGGATACAAATAAATTACCAATATTGATGATCATATCAATCATGTAATATTCTTTACTATAAAAAAATTACCTTACAGTACATCCTCTTTTCCTAGTTTTTCAACAAGAACAGTTTTCTTCAAATGAACAGCCATTCTAAGAATGTTTCAATTTCATTTGGGAGTTTAACAGGCAACACTCCTATGACTTCCATTGGAACAACCCTGATTGATTCCATTAATGACAATTATTTCTTAAACGATTCTGACTTCATTGTGAACCTATATATTGGCACCTTCTACCCATCATGTTGACTGGAACTAATTCTACCATGTCTACCTTTCTTTACAGGGGCTCAAACAGGAAGGGTTATCCACAGGTGCCATCATCGGCATCATCCTGGCTGGGGTCTTTATCCTTCTTGTAATCATCCTCATCCTTGTCCTGATCTTCCGCAGGTAAGGGTTGACCTGCTCACATGAAACACACCTCATACTGCTACACAATGATTGCCTGAAAGCAATTCATTTTAATTTTTCACATTCAGAATCAATATACTTAAAATATGAAGTAGCCTGCTTCTTGCCCTCTTTCATGGAAATATGACTGAGTGACAATCATTCGTGGAAGCAGCCAATAGGGGATGAAGCAGATCAGTACAGGACTAGTGGGCCATTATCAAGTTAGTGGGACTATACAGGACTAATTTGGGTTTAATGAAGGCCGTATTACCGGCTTGCGAGGCCAATATGTGATATGTACACCAGGTAGTAAGCATGCAACAAAGCTCTTGCATTGTGGGGTATGGCTGATAGTATCTTTGTCCTTCAGGAATACAACTCCGGGATCTGATGATGATTACACCACGCCAACATACACACCGGACTATGAAACACTGAGGAACTATGTGCCACACGAGAGGGCCATGGTGGCCTATGACAACCAGATCTACTTGCATGACAAGATGGAGTCTCAAGAAACCAACCATGACTATGATGAGCTGCAGGCAAAGACGGAGCCTGGAGCTTGCAACTATGACAACGCTGCCGTGCAATTCCAACCTCCTGAATATGACAATCACCTAAACGACTCTGTGATGGAAATGCCTAAAGGAGCAATTGGTTAATTACTGCATTAAAGAACAGACTGAAGGACATCTCAAAACCTTCCTCTTCAAAAAAGTCTACAACCTGTAACTGCGAAATATTCTCATGGTCATTTTGACGAATTGTCATATCTTCCTCTTGAACTCTAGTGACTCTTTTTATATGTAGCGCTTTGAGCATGCTCTGGATGGACTATGGCGCATAAGAAATATCCATTTATTATTATTATTATTAGTAACCCGAGTGAACACTTTGGATGAACTGATCCAATACACTTATTTGCTTTGGAGACAAACCTACTGATTTCAAGCTATGATATGAAAAAATGCACAAATGTGAATTAACTGTTTGTCTTTAGCTTTTTGAAGAAACAGCAAAGGCAAGATATTTATATGAATAAAGCTCTTAATTCTATTATTGAGCTTTCATCCATAAAAGTATCTTGCCTTCACTGTTACTCAACAATGTGAATCAAACAGGTTTTCAAGTAAAGATTAGTATTTCATACCTCTCAGCATAAATATAAATGAACTTAGTTCTCTCCATTCTTCTGTGACATACGCTATGTTATATTAATTGGTTTCTGATAAAGCATCTGGGTTTTACTTCGCACAAATAGTTAGGGGCCAATGGGCACATGATTATATATTTCAAGGATTCTTCCTGGAAATATCAGAATTAATTAATGAGATGGTGTAGCATCCTGTACTGTGGGATTTTAAGAATTTTTAAAATTTATGTCACTGTGTGTATTTCAGGATGCAATGTCTATATTATTCTGTGTCCATTTCATAAATGTGAGACACACATGTAAAACCCTACAGGACAATACATGATCAGGCTTTGCGAATGACCAAATTGAGGTGAACTGAGGGTTGACGGTAAAATATCACAAAACCTACAATTGTGCTTTTTATTACTCACTGTATATATTCCATGTGCACTTCTTAGAAAATATTCAGGTTGATGCATATAATCAGTGAAGTCATGAATAAACAAGTGTCATTTATTTATCTATGTACAGAAACATAAAGTTGACAAATATGTTCATCCAGATGCTATCGTGGAAATTAACCAGCAATAACTTCTGTTCCCAAAGTGATAATATGTACAAGATGTCCCCTTCAAGGGCTCGAAATTATTGACATTCATTATGGTGAAAGAGGCAGAGGTATAGAGCTGACCTACAAAAAAATCCTTATCATGGCAAAGCTGGATCTGAACATACAACCATTAAATATCTTTAAAAACCTAATGGGCATAACTCTTTGGCACTTCAGACAACAAGGCTACCCTGGGTGAAGAATTCCTCTGTAAAAAAAGTCACTGTTATATTTTTTGTCATGACAACAAAATAAAATACATCTTTCTCATTTGTGAAAAGCATTTCATTTCATATTCAACATGAAGATGCTGAAAAGGTTGAGATATACTTTTGGAACCTATTGGTGAACAAATTGTTTGTTGCAGGATCTTATTATATGTTCTCTGCTTGTATACACACAGAGAGATAACAATGGAATTAATATCATTTGAGTCACTTAGGACATATCTATGGATCTCCCAAGGCCAAAATTTGGTCCAAAGTCTACAGCAAATGTCAGTCAAAAGTCACAATTGGACACATTCTGTAAATATGTTATGGCCTTGTAGACAACAATAAAATTATATGGGCAGCATTATTGTCTTGAATACAGTCAACAAACACACAATGTTAAACTGTTATTCCAGTTAAATACTTTTTTCTGAAAATAAGAAGTTTGAAAAAAATATAAAAATTGATTGACCTTTAAAAAGTGCTTAAGCATGCATTTTGAAATTTAAGTGTGTATGCAAGAATATTCTGAAATGAAAAAGAAAGCGTTATCTAAAAATCTATTTATTGAACAAGTTCCTATATTGATTATTCTCCATGCATTTGTTGCATTTATATGCATCCATCATACATCTCACCCCAGGGCATACAAAATTAAGATCATCACAATACTAACACTGAAAAAAGTTAGATTACAACTATCACCTTACCTCACCATGATATAACTTTACCATTATTTTTACCATTTGATTTTAAAAGTGCTATTGGAATAAAAACACAGAACTTGATATAACAACCAAGCATTTCCACATCAGATGTGTTAATAATTTTCCAAAGGTTTAAAAAACTTCCAAGCTAGATCAATAAATTACAACCACCATCCTATATCCAATGTTGTAAACCTATTTTAGAAGGGTATCTTACCCCATGTGAATGCACGGCCTCTGGGTGTAGTGGTTAGAGCGTCCGACCAAAGAGAGGAAGGTCGCGCATTTGATCCCCAGCCGCGTCATTCCAAAAAGACGTTAAAATATAGTACTTGTTGGTCCCTACTTAGAACTAGGCATTAATGGGTACAACAAGGACTGGTCGGCTCAGAGTCAATATAATGTGTCTGAGTGGGGTTTTCATGCTTAACTGCGGATGGTATCTCAGTGAGCTATCACTATAAAACCAGCCTAAGTCTGGGCTAGTACAAGCAGCCACACATACACACGCATGCACTTCATTATATGAGCGAAATTTTCTCAAGTACGACGTTAAACCCCATTTCCCCTCACCTCACCAATATGAATGTTCTTCGATCCTTGCAGTTTTGAAAGTGTTAGTAGAAGTTTTATCCCCTAACAGGGCTCCAGATAAATATTTCAGTCATTACCATTTGCACATTATCATTCACGTCTTTTAACAGCATTTATAAGTGATACACATGAAAGGTGAGAATTTTATGGATAACTTATCACTGTTGTTGTTTCACATGTACTTATATAGCTACCTGCTTCCTTGTATTTCATTCACCTGATGAAGGAGTCAGAATTTACTCTAAAACATTGTGTTCCTCACAATAAACAAGTTTAGATCCATAAAATTCTTTGGGTATTGAATATATTTTTACTCTGTTGTATTTTTCACAACCTGTATACAAGTCCAAGTTACTGTAAGCCATGATTGCACTATTGTATTATGAATTTATGAAAACACACAGTTTATCTAGCTATCAAGCTTACGTGTATCCAATGCACATGTACTTCAGCCATCCAAAACAAGCTTGGCAAGCAATTCATTATTGACATGCATTCACTTTTATGCTTGAAAACGGTATAAGTATCTATACCGGAAACGTCGCTATTTTACAATAAAGAATTTGATCATCCATAAAGACTTGTCATTCCTATACATTTGTTAGTGAATTGTAGGGAGTTATGTCCCCTTATGTCATGCTTGACGTCTCATAAGTGATAAACTCCATGAAACTTGTCTGAGTTCCTGGCAGTATTTACCTTTATTCCAATGTGGCAACTTTTGCTATGATCCACGTTATTCATGTTTAAGATTAAATACCAAGTGTTAAGACACAGGAAGGAGAACAAAGGGAACAGGTGTTGGAATGCTGGCACTGCTAGTTTTCAAGAAGGTATTGATGATGTGTTTTCTTGGCATGTGGTTGACAAAGTCATGTGAAGGAGAAACTGTCGCCAGGGGGAGAAAAACCAGTGGGGCAATGGAGTTGTGCTAATGCAGAAATTATGAATGAAACGTACCAGCCAGGTTATTTGAGGTCTGTCAAAGATTAGCTAAATACACATCAGATACATATAGGCTGGCTTCTAGGTATGCCTGGTGTAGGACAGTAATGTACAGGGAACGTAGGGAGCGATAGACAACAGAACAGTTTCCTAGGGTACTTATTTACAGGAGATCTTCAGTAAGTACTATGCTCCAATATGCAGAGACCATATATATCGGTATATGGTCCCTGCAATATGGAACAAACAGATGGGTGCATCAAGATTGGGGTGATACTTCCATTGGCAGCCATTATGGAAAGGCCATTAACAATCATGGCCAAAACAGTGCCTTTATTCAACTATAGTCAACAATGTTTGCCAAGTAACAGCTTACAACATTTTATGGTATTTTATTGAATGTTAGGGCCTCTCTTTCAGACAGACTGAAATTTATTTGGTAGTCCCACGCAAATATTCACTTGTTGCAAAGAACAGAATCAGATATTTTATGAATGCTTCTGAGTTAAGCAACCATTCAATGCAGGCCTATCACCAAGAGGAGTCAGTGGATGAGTGAGAATGGCGCTGTCTTGAATAGTATTTTAGCTATATTGATCACAGCATGTCAGACTGATGACAGTGGACATCCCAAAGTAATGAGGGCCTTATGTAAAGGTAACCAGGTGAACCCCTGAAATGAAGGGGTTGTGCCTACAAAATTAACCTTGCCATCATGATTAGTGCTTTGCTTTTCTGGGATTCAAAGCGCAATCGGAGGAGCCTGGAATTAATATGCATGATAAAGAATGCAACAGTGAATCATGGTACTTTTACCCACAGAGACTGCCTTATACATACTAGTTACTTCAATTTAAGAATACCGACCTTGTATCTTGAAAATGGACAATTGAGAATCTAAGCAGCCAATTAAAGCACTGATTCTTGGTGACAAATGTAGCAGGTTAAGGGGTGGTTCTGTTCAATGAAGACCAACGCCTGCTGGGGTGTGACTTGTACCACTACTTTATTTCTCAAGAATATAGTTTGTTTTGTTTTCACCCTGTAACATAATAACCATAGTCAATAAAACAGTCATATCACATCTGTACTAATATAGTAGATTACACATAAATGTTACAATTACTGATAATAATCATATATCCCTATCACAATATATTCATTGTAATGCAAATTACTTGAACTGCATCAATTCCAAGAAAGTAATAAACATAAGTAATAAACACAAGCAGTTCACAAAAAGGTATTATATGAATTAATTGCAGCAGCAAAATATTACAATATCAACGGAACACATATCTGTGGCAATGATATATACATGAAATATAAACACATTAAAAGGATAAAATACCTACCAAATATATGGTACTCAGGTGATATTACATTGTCCACCTTAGTGAAACAGCATGTGTCACCTGACCTCATAAAAGATTACAATTATTACTAATAAACTTACAATGAAAATGCTGATGCAGTAAACATGAAAATCATGCCTATAAACACACAATATTTGACTTACACTATATTCTTAAAACACATTCATGCCTTCACATCACACAATATTAAAACCTAAGCAAAAATAATGTTTATAATATAACTATACTTAACAGATATTACATCCTACATAATATGTTCATAATTAAGTTAACTAACCTTAGACAGAGTGAAGTTGTAGACCAAACAGAAGAAATAAGACGTCTGTCAAAAATATTACGTACGTCATATGTAAGATGCTTCTCGTATGCGGCTGTATGTGGTAGACTGACTAAAATGTGCTGATGTTAGTGAAGAAGACAACATAAAACTGACCAATCGGAGATCAAGGAATAGCTTGCCCTCTGAGTTAAGAACAATAGAACACCCTGCTCTCCCACAATAATACAATAGGAGCCCAGGTCCAGCTTGGGGTAATCAAGCTGGAGACAAATACAAAACATACTCTAATAAAAACCTAATCCAATAAAACTACCACAACAAAAAAAGTGTTTAAAAATGATACCGTATTTACACAAATAATAAATAAAATGTAAAATATGACACTGCCACACACTTCCCCCCTACGACAAATAACGTCCTCGTCATCACGACTTCCCTGCCACAAGATCTCCAAGAACATCCGATGCCCTATCACATTTACTGGCTACCACTCCTGTAGCTATGAGAGAACTAAGGTAGTCTGCTCTCGAGATCCAGTCCGGCTTTGGTGTTGTCCTAGCTGTCATCACATATTTGCCACTAGTCTGCCATGATGGTTTTTGCCGTTCCCTCTGTGACCTCCTTAGTGGTGGGGTAGGTAGTATCCTCCGCTGAGGTCTATCTTCGGGTGTGGTTCTTGTTGGTGGTGGTGGCTCAGGAGTTCCTACTTCCGTCTGCACATCCTCTTGTGCAGAAGCATGAACATCCTCTAGTAACAAGTTGACAGGTGGTACAGATGATCCCGAAACTTCAGCTTCTATCTGCATGTCTTCTGGTGCAGAAACCGCTTAATCGCCTGGGATATCTCCAACTTCATCACCATCAACATCTGTGGCTCTCTCTGGCTCTTCATCCCTGTGATCCTCATGCAGAGCGGCATCTGTCACAACTTCAGCCTCACTCTCACGTGGCCTATCAGTCGGTACACCAGCTGAAACTGAGAGTTCTGATGAGGTCACGGGCACAAAACAAATTTCATCTTCTGAATCGTCCTCTTGATCCTGACCCAAATCCTCCTGTTCCTGGGTTGATGATCCAGATGGAGCAACTGGCATCTTGGATTTCCGAGGCCTTGGAATTGGGACGGGTGCACCTGGGACTGCTTGTGGCAGAGATC